TTTCTTTCTTTCTTTCTTTCTTTCTTTCTTTCTTTCTTTCTTTCTTTCTTTCTTTCTTTCTTTCTTTCTTTCTTTCTTTCTTTCTTTTGTGTCAATGGGTTCTAACACCTGAAACTTGGGAGCTACAATCCTGCCTGCTGGATGATTAGTGGACGATGGGCTGCTGGCACTCAAAGCCCAGGGCAATAAGCCTCTCATCTGAACAGGGTGAGCTAGGTCTCTGGCTTTTAAAACTTGGAGTAATGAGTCTCCAGTTCTCAGGGCCCAGAATCACAAGTCTCTGGCTCCGAACACCCAAAGTGTGCTCTGAGCCGAACATCTACAGAGCTACAGATCTTTGGCTTTTAAAATTTGCAGCCACAGGTGTCAATTCTTAGGGGCTGAGAGGTATTAGCCGTTGGGTTTAAAACTCAAGCCCGTAGCCTGTGGTATTCAAGAACCGCCAAGCATAAAAAAGCGGTCCTTGTCTGTTTGTGATTTCCATACAAACGGAGCAGGAGGCCCCTCAGCCAGCTATTGGTGGTGGGAATGACCTGGAAGAAGTATGTGAGTGTGCTGCACGGATACCTGGGAGAGCATCCGGAGGATTGAGAACAGGAGCGTGCTTGCCCTACCAAGGGTACGAAGGAAGCTAGTTATGCTGAGTCATAATGACTCGAGGGGATGGTGGTGTGGGAGAGAAGAGAATGACGGAGTTGTGGGGTGGAGCGGGAAGGGTCTTGCAGAGTCTTGTAAGGAATTCTGCTTTGTCTCTGAGTAAGACAGAAAGCCATTTGTGGCTTTTGATCAGAAAGCAAGTGACATCATCTGGCTTTGGAAAGGACCACTCTGATGACTAAGTGGGAGAAGAGCTTTGGAGAAGCTTGGGTGGAAGAAGGGGTACCCAGCTGGAAGGCAAGTGTGCCAAGGTGGCCCGGGGTGACAAAGTCTTGTGTCAGGGTGGTCATGGTAGCGATGTGACAAGTTCTGGGAGTCGGCCTCCATCTGAAAGCACAGCAGAAGTGTGGCGGATGAGCTAAGACGTCTGGTGAGAGAGAGAGAGAGAAGGAAAGGATGGCAGTCACCATGAGGTTTGAGACAGCCTCTCGCTGGGATGGAGAAATGATCAGAGGAGCCCATTTGTCTTGATTTTTGGGACACAAAGTCTGACATGATTGTTAATATTCTGATCGGCCCCTTGAAATCCCACCCCTTGGCTCTGCCCTGTGTCCTGATGTAAAAGCCTCATTCTAAGGAAATCTCCTTCCCTTCCTCTCTCTTCCGCTTTTTCCTCCCACAAGGTGTGCGCTCGTGTGTGTGTGTGTGTGTGTGTGTGTGTGTGTGTGTGTGTGTGTGTGTACGCTCTCTCTCTCTCTCTCTCTGTCTCTCTCTTTCCTATCTTTCTCTTCCTCTCTCTACTATAATAAACTCTCCGTGGGGATGCAGCGTCTGGGTTGTGAATTACTGCCACTGTGCATCTGCCTAGCATGTTTCCCCGCACACGAGGGATACCCTTGCCCCGCCCCCCAATAATTCATAGCAGTGATGACTAGAAGTCTAAGGGCAGGTGCGTGTTAGGCCTTAAAGAAATCCAGACAAATGGCCGACAACACATCACAACAGACTCTAGCTGCCCCGCCTCTCCCTACTTAGGAGCGCCTGTCCCAGTCATCCTGGCTGGCCTACTCTGTGCCCTACCCTAGAGTCTCCAGCCCCTGGGCTTGGCTTCCCCTCCCCCAGCCTCTCTTTCCTACGTAACCCCAGCCATGCGCTATGGGGCCTCTTGGTTCCTTGGTCCCCACATACCCTCTTGGTTCCTGGTTCCTCTCTTGGTCTCCCCTTTTCTTCTCTCTTTCTCTGCTCTCCTCTCTCTCTCAGGGAGAGAGTCTGCTGGCCTGGTTCAGTCTGGACCCTTCTAGATCTTTCTGGCTGTGCTCTCCCTCACATCCACAACAAAACCCCTTTCTTCAACCATACCTAGGGGCGGTTGTATCCCCATTTTCCATTCAGTGCTGACAGAGCAGTGTGGACATCAGGGGGAGACACTGGGTCTGACAAGCTTCATTTGAAGGCTATGTCAAATAGTCGCCCCAGTTAGGTGACAGACTTCCAGTCTGGCTGCTTTGGGGTCCCCTAAGCTTCTGTATGTATTCCCACACACATACATGCCCTGTAGGTTGTAAACCGAATAAACGTATTGATTCCTCAGGAGAGAGACTTCGTGGAATTGTACTCTTGGTTGCTGCTGGGGCCTTGAAAGGAGTAGTATGTAGGTAGACATTGTTTGAGGGGCAGAGGGGAGAGGAACTTTGTAATAGCAAGGTGTTCTCAAGTCCTTAGGCAGCCGGGCGATGGTGGCGCACGCCTTTAAGCCCAGCACTCGGGAGGCAGAGCCAGGCGGATCTCTGTGAGTTCGAGGCCAGCCTGGGCTACCAAGTGAGTTCCAGGAAAGGCGCAAAGCTACACAGAGAAACCCTGTCTCAAAAACAAACAAACAAAAGTCCTTAGGCAAACAGCCGCCATCTTTATTGCGTCACACGTGTCTGCCAACAAGACCTTCTAGAGCAGTGGTTCTCAGCCTGTGGATATCAGATATTGATGGAACAGTAGCAAACTCACAGTTATGAAGTAGCAACGAAATAATTTTATGTTTGGTGGGGGGTCACCACACCATGAGGAACTGCATTAAAGGGTCGCAGCACTAGGAAGGTTGAGAACCACTGATCTAGAGGCAGCCTGCTGGTTACTGATGTTCTTCCGGAGAAGAAGGTGGTGGGGAGAATCTGTCCCCCACCTGAGAGTCTAGCTTGTCCTGCTTACCCCTCCAAGTCATCTGCAAGCAATTCTGCTCTAATTGCACGTGACCCACGTGAACCAAGGCTCTAGGGAGCTGGAGGGTATACAGGCTGGGTCAGGTTAACTGTGGGGAGGGAACTCCGGCTCTGTGGCTGTGAGGACGTCATTATCCATGCTGAGTGAAAGAGTTCCTACCTTGGAGTCCCCTCTGCTTCTGTAAGTATTCCCGCACATGCGCCGTAGGTTGCGAACCTCATGAACTCATTGGATCCTCAGGACGGGCATAATGGAATTACAGTCTTGGTTGTTGCTGGGGCCTTGAAAGGAGAGGGCAGACATTGTATAAAGTCTCCTTAGGGAAGGAATTCTCACAGCACAAGGAAACAGAAGATTGGTATCTGCAGATTAAAGCTTTTATCTGGGGTTGGGGAGCAAAGTCAACAGCAGGCACAGGGAAATGTTGATGACTAAGGAGAGTGAGTTAAGATGAAGGGAAGGCAATCAGGCCCATCTATTGGGGACAGGTGACCAGGGCCGGCCTGTGAAGGCTCAGATCAAACACTGGTGATTTATGTCCAAAGTGTGTGCGGGCTGTTGGAGGCAGGTGGGGAGTGATTAGGGCCTGTATTTCACCGCTCTGAACTACAAAGCTGCTTGTGGTTTGTGTGGTCTGCACCGGCCTTAGCCATCACCAGCTGCTGCTTCATCTTCTGGTTTTTAGTTTTTGAGACAAGGTCTTGTTACATAATTCTGGATGGCCTGGACCTCACTACACACGTAAGCTGGCCTTGAACTCTTAGCAACCATTCTGTCTTGGCCTCCTGAGTTCTGGGATTAGAGGTGGGAGCCACTGCATCCAGCCTATTACAAAGTTCTCTCTCTCTTCTTTATTCCTTCCTCCCTCCCTTCCTCCCTTCATTCTTTCCTTTTTTTTTTTGTTTTTCAAGACAGAGTTTCTCTGTACAACCATGGCTGTCCTGGACTTGCTCTCTACAGGCTGGCCTGGAACTTAGAGGTCTGCCTGCCTCTGCCTTGGCTGGGATTAAGATGTGCACCATCATACCTAGTTTATTGCAAACTTCTTCATCTCCTTTTTTTTTAAAAAAAATTATTTTCTGTGTATTTGCCTGTGTCTGTGTTGGGTGTTGGATCCCTTGGAACTGGAGTTACAGTTGTGAACAGCCATGTGGGTGCTGGGAATCAAACTCCAGTCCTCTGGAAGAGCAGCCAGTGTTCTTAACCACTGAGCCACCTCTCCAGTCCCATATTACAAACTTATTAAGAGAAAATTTCACATTAGAATCTTTTCTCTTTCTCTCCATTTCCCTTCCCCCTCCTTCCCTTCCCATCATCTCTCTCTCTCTCTTCCCCCTCTTCTTCTCTTTCCTTTGACAGGGAATCAAACCCGGAACCTTGTCTGTACTAGGCAAGCATTCTACCACTGAGCTATATATCCCGAGGTATCATTTTATACTGTTCAAGACGCGAAGAACAGAAAGCTTTGTGTATGCCAGGTGTTGAGCGAATACTGCATTCAAGTGAATTGCATTCAATAAACACAGTATTGGCTAACTGAACAAATTAAAACAATTACATAAAGCTCACAAATCTATAGGTACTTGAGCAGGACACTACCTGTGAGAATTAGCCATGCTGGTCTCTGCTGGCGAATGGCCTGCTCTGCTTAGCAAACCCCGAAGATGCCTGGAGGTATGAGGCTCCATTTGAGGTCTTACAGTGGGTATGGTGTCTTAGATAAAAATTATAGGTTGTTTGGCTGCTTGTTTAAAAGTATTTGTTCCAAGAGTAAGTTTTTTGCTCTGTGTTAATGTAGAATTGCTTATATAATAATAATAATAATAAAATAAAATATATGCTTAAGTTGAGTTTCTAAGTAGGCTCTTGAAAAAACAGGCAATTACTTGTTCAAGAGAGCTAATTGCATCCACAGATGGGCCCTTGGGTCACCAATTCCTCATTGTACTTAGGATGACCTGTTTGTAAGACCTGACAACATCTAGGGGAATTCTTAGGCACAAGGAAAGGTTTTAAGCATTTGCAGACATGTCCTTGCCTGGGGAGGAGGCCAGAGGGAAATCATAGCA